GGATAACGTTTACGTTCATTATATTGATCGACACGTCCGATTCGTGCCATCTTAGCGGCTGCAGTATACGCTTCGACGAGAATCCCAGCAGCGATCCAATGTTGGGCTTATCAAAGTTTATTCTGTATGCACATCTAATCTCGCAACTAATTGTGTTGTAATTTGTGCAGAGCGTAATCGGGTATTCTCCACCCTCACTTCGGTGTCATTGTTGTTATTGTCACCACGCACTACGTCAATCGTTTCAAGCGTATCGCGGGCGTGTCCGTAAAATCGCGCGTTTCAAAAATTCATTTATGTCTCGTACTTCATACGAATCCTCGGGAATTATAATTTCCGCGTCATCTTTGGCGAAATAAAATATGTTGTTTGATTTGTTCACGTTTGATACGTTCGTCAACGTATCGTGTGATAAGTTTCAAAAATTGTCAAACCGAGCTCGTAACTCCGTCACTTAAATCTATGGGGGGAAAGTAGTTCACCGCGAGGACGGTGCTCTTCCCGCTCAACGTAAGCGTCAACGACATGACGGAAAAAGCGTTCAACTAATATTAAGATTTCACAGCATCTTGAGTTTTTTTAAATTCACGTGCGTCTCATTCTACCGTTTGTAGAAACCGCAGATACATCTGTCCGCAGAAGCTCTGATCGTACGTCTGATAGGACGTGCGATTGTACTCTATTGTCGTAGCACCGTTCCTGAAATATCACCATTCCCGAATCGCACCACTTGGGCGGTCGAAAATTACCGAAACTATCAAAGTACAAGACGAGGTTGTTCCTATTCGCGTAGGCTGTTGCTGTCCAGTGAGTACCAGGCCTCGTTGCATTGTGCGGATTCACGATACTGCTTTCGACGCGCGCCGCTCGTCGGTAACGCATTGCGCATGAAAACACCTCTAAAGTGTGGTACGCGCATATTGGATATGCTCACGAGCATGTTCAATTGCACCTTGGTAGTTACAAAGGCATTTTTATCGTCTCTTTGGCGTTTTTTTTTTTTGCAGTTACGCTCTGTTCGCGTTTATACGGGCCAAGATATAGTCCGCGTCCCTGTTCCGTGACGTTACAGCTCTTCGAGCTGACGTCGCACGGTTTTGCCGTCATTTACTGTTTTCGCCACGCTGGCCGTTCCGCTAATCAAGGACCTGAGCGCGCCCAACATTGACAGATACGGTAACGCACCGTTTCATTTCGCGGTCGGAAGTATCCGCTTTTTCGTCTCCTTTTTCCTCATCGTCTTCTTCTTCGGTTTCATGCCGATCTTGATCTTTGCTTTCATCGCTGCTCAGACAGCAGCAGCGGCAGCTTTCTCGCTCAAAGAGGTTCGAATTTCTCGCGACGATACGTCCTAGCGCTTTATCGGCGATTACCTTGTCCGCCGCGTGTCTATCGATGAGATCATTACTGCAAGAATACGCAATGTCGTGTTCTCGGCACGCTGTTCGCGTCTAGTTAATTTATATCCGCATCACCTCTGGCTAATCGCTTCGAGTGCCCGGGCCGCAAAACTGGTAACCCGCAATGTGTAACTCGAAAGGAAGCGCGTTTATCGCTCGATTCAGCAGACCGCTGCGCGACGCCGACATTCGCTACAATCCTTTATCTTTATTGCGGGATCGTGGATGTGCGTCCGCTGCCATGGCTAATTGTAGTGCTCTTCGCAGCGACGATAGGTTCGAATCTCTGAATTGCCTTCATATATTCCGGAAGCTTGTCCCAGACATATTTGATGTCTCCGTTCATACGTAAGAGTACGAACTTCGATATATATTGCAACGATATATAACTTCGATATACAGGGTGTCCCATTTTAATTGCCCACCCCAAATATTTCGAAAACTACACATCCTAGAAGAAAAAGTTTTAGACAAAAGTTGTAGGATTTCGAGGGGGGCATCCAACAGTGACCTTGACCATGACCGTTACCATGGCCGTCAAGGTCATTTCAAGGTCAAGTCAAAATTTTTAAATGGAACGCCCCTTTTTTCACACCGCAATTGAAAAGAGGAAGAAATTTTACGTCCGAATATGACCTTGACCGTGACCTCAATGTCAAGATCATGTCAAGATGAAATCCAAACATCTTGAAAACTATGTGCTCTTGCAAAAATATTCGACACCAAAGTTGTGAGATTCGGCGGGGTTATTTAATGACCATGATCATGACCTTCAAGGTCATTTCAAAGAATTAGAAAGAGGAGGAAATTTTACGGGTCTGAATTTTGTGTGATCATAAAAGCAAACTCCCAATGAAGAAAACTAGTTATAAAGGACCATTTTATGAAAATTAACCTTTACTCCCGTAGCCCTTTGTTTCGGCATCTTAAATCTGTGAACCATGGTCTTTTAGATCCTGTGCCTTTTTTAAACGGTAAAAATGCTTTGAAAAATCTGCAGAAATTCATGAAGCTTCTTAAAACCCTCAACTATAAATCCCAATTAAATATTTCGGGAAAAATAATTTTTTTATACATTTCTTACCTAATTCCTTGAAATGACCTTGAAGGTCATGATCATGGTCATTAAGTAACCCCCGCCGAACCTCACAACTTTGGTGTCGAACATTTTTGCAAGAGCATATAGTTTTCAAGATGTTTGGATTTCATCTTGACATGATCTTGACATTGAGGTCACGGTCAAGGTCATATTCGGACGTAAAATTTCTTCCTCTTTCCAATTGCGGTGTGAAAAAAGAGGCGTTCCATTTGAAAATTTTGACTTGACCTTGAAATGACCTTGACGACCATGGTAACGGTCATGGTCAAGGTCACTGTTGGATGCCCCCCTCGAAATCCTACAACTTTTGTCTAAAACTTTTTCTTCTAGGATGTGTAGTTTTCGAAATATTTGGGGTGGGCAATTAAAATGGGACACCCTGTATACTGCTCGGCGCTCAAGTCCCGAATATCGGAAGCATGACACAGCGCGAGATACATTTTGCTATTGCGCGATTCGCGGGCCTTCAAATAGTTGTTGGAGAGCGCACAACCTTTAGTGCGAGCATGAAATTCGTGCGGGAATCGTTGACGATACGTGTCACAAACTGTGAAATTGCAAATGGAAGCAGCGCGGAGAAGCGCAAGCACGGCGAAATGTTGCCGAGTAGTATACGCACGATCATTTGCGGCCCACAGGTATCTAATTGCGGTAAAGCAATGTTCTCATAAGTTTGCTCGAGAGTCCAAACGGCGTACATTTCGAGAACGTCTACTCGAAATCGCTGCAATAATCAAAGTATCGATATCTCAAAAATTTGTTTACGTCTACTATATATTTTACATGTCTATATATATTTTACATTCTCCAACAACAGTGACGTCGTTTCATCGAGCGAGACGCACCCAAATTCTATGTTTATCTTTGATAACGTGCGACAAGCAGGATGCGGTGAGAGAATATTTTTCGATGAGTCGTCACGTGAACGTTGACTGCTTCTATCTCTATCAGACGTACGCGAGAATACCTAAACATCTGATACGCGACAACGCGAACTTGTTGATCCTGTTCAAACAGAATTGTATCAACTTGAAACACGTTTACAACGATCACGTGAATATGGACATGTCGACGAATTTTGTTTGTTGTGTCGCGACTGTTGTGTCGCGACTGTTGGCAACAAAAATATGTATTTCTAGTGATAGACAAGGATAGTGCTATTAAAGACGGGAGATATCAAAAGAGATATTTAATGTTCGCGATACCGTAATATGACCAGTCGTTGTCGATACGTCAGAGACGAACATGCGCGAGCATAAATCCAAGAATTCGCATAGCGTATCACATTTCCTCGTAGAATGAAAAAACTCTCGAAGGTTGAACTGGTGAACGGGTATGCCGGCTAGACTTGGATCGCGATCCATAGCCAGGGGACCATCAATGATGTTTGCGCTTGTTCCTCTTCGAAAAGATCGGCGAGCAACTTTTCGACGAATAATCTTTCTGATTCGACATGTTAGGAAGATAATACGGAAAATAATGTGTTAAAAAATACTTATTATAAAGAACACTGCTGACTACATGAACAGAAAACATAATGAAGAAACGAAATGGCGCCAGAAGTAACGCGCGCGTCTGGCGCTGCGAGGGACCTAAGAGCGCTATCCTTCTTTTTGGTTTTTTGAGCAGAAACTGTGAACATTGATGTAGCCGGTAAGAAAACGTGACTACATAGTTTATTCAGACGAGACTACGGCATAATCTATATTATCACTCACACACGCGCGCGCGCACACACACACACACACACACACACGCACGCACGCACGCACGCACGCACGCACGCACGCACGCACGCACGCACGCACGCACGCACGCACGCACGCACGCACGCACGCACGCTCTAATCTAACAACTGTTCATAGCTGTTAAATATCAGTCTGATAGCTGTTCGATAGCCGTTCGATGGCTGTTCGGTGGCCCTTTGATAGTCGTTCGATGACTGTTCGATATTGATTCGATAGCTGTTCGATAGCCATTCGATTGCCGTTCGATATGTTTAATTGCGCTATGATACTCGAAGAGCTGCAACAGATAAACATACTAAGATGGAATCTTTCGAGCGCGACATCTTCTTGTATACTTTTTGGCTGAGGCATACGATTTTACTCGAGACATTGTACTTTTTGCTACTAATATATTAATTATGATGATCTATTTATAACTAATGATCTATTTACTGATAAAATGCTGAAGCTTATTTGCGGCATTGTTCGAACCTGTGATACACTTTTAGGCTGAGGTATAAACTTTTGCACGTGGCACTATACTTGGACTGAGGATTCTTTTTCAAACTGATATCATGTTGTCACGTACATTTTTACTATAAACGCACGATCTCCATGATTTGTTAATTTGCTTGTCCAGCCTGTGTTCGTTTATCAAAGTAAATTTTTGGAAAAATGGCGAATATTAACAATTTAATTGGTTGTGCAAATTATACTAATATGCAGGCAGTTGAAAAATCTGTGGAATTAACAGATAGTGTGCGCAACTTGCAGCTGGAGGTTACTGGCACCAATCAACGTGTACCATGGGTTAGAAGTTAACATGGACGTACGAAACGATGAGCTGATAGAGAGAACGTAAGTATTTCATTATTAATTCAGTAATTAGTAGTAATACTAGTAATGCATTCGAGAAAGATGAGAATATTTTATCAGTTATTTCTATCAGGACTAAATCTCGGTATCAGTATTTTCTCATCTTGATGGGTTAAAATTATAGATTATATCGTTCTATTATATATCTATGCGTGTGCGTGTGTGTGTGTGTGCATATATATATATACAGGATGTCTCAGACCACTCGTCCACTCTTTTTATCTCCGCAGGATAAGACCTAATCAAAAATATATTCAGAATAATTCAATAATCATATAAAGTTGTGGGGTTTAAAAAGATCTATTTATTGATCATATCAGTTTGATCTTGGGTGGCTTTGCCAAGGTCTAATCAAGATCACATCGATTTTTTTAAATGAAACATCTTACTTTTTATTCTAGAAAATAGCTAATGTCTAATAGCTGATGTCAAGAACTTTCCAAAACGTTATAATAAAGTATCTTTTAATTAAGTAAATCTCAAGTTATGAAAATTAAAAGTTACAGTGCCGCTGGCATGGTTTTTTCGGCCGTATTTGTAGTTCGCTTACTGGCTAAACGTCTCTGGAGTTCATCCCACAACAGTTCGATGATATTTAGATCGGACGATTGACTTGGTCACTCTAGAAAAGTTACTCGATGCTGCCGAAACCACTTCCGCATTTTAGCCACGCGATGCTTTGGATCATTGTCTTGCTGATATATAAAGCCACGACCAAGGAAACGCTTTGCGTACGGAAGCATCACATTCTCGAGGAATTTATGTATACTTTTTGATTTATTTTGCCGTTGATCCTATGAAGGGGACCTATTCCCTTTGCAGAGAAAGCATCCTACACCATGACCGAACCACCTCCGTGTTTCATTGTGGGAAGTTGGTACTTGGGATCGAAGCGCTTACCTTTAGGACGACAAATCCATATTATTCCGTCAGTAACAAATAACAAAAACATACTTTCGTCGCTTCAGACGACAGAGGACCACTGCTAAGGTGTCCATTTAAGATGAGCTTTCGCCCATTCCATTCGCACTTTCCGGTTTTTGGAGGAAATAAATGGCTTCTTTACGAGTCGTCGTCCATGTAGTCCTGCAACCTGCAGATAATAATATATGATCCGTATGATTGGATTAGACTCATCAGAAATTAATATTTCTTTGGCAATATCTGATGCCGTGAAATGTGGATTGCTGCGGGATATGCGGAGAATATTGTGATCAATGACAGAAGAAGTACAACGCGGTCGCCGAGTTTTCTTCTTCTTGACATAATCTCCTTGAGTCTTCCAACGCTTCAGCAATTTGATTACCGCCGATTTAGAAATGCCAAACTGTTGTGCGAGCTCTTCGTGCGTTCGCCCTTATTTGCGGCCTTCTATAATAGCATTCTGCTGTCGTTCGTCTATATCTCGAGCACCACGGGTTTTTGCCATAATGTGAAACACTAAATTTATTGCCAAAATTAAGTTAGTTAAGACCGTAAGAACAATGGCTACGACATGAAAAACAAAGAAAGCCCAAAAGTGCGATTTTGCCAAAATCAATAAAAAATTAAAAAATCATGGCGTAACATTGTCAAAATTCATTACATTTCATGTACAAAGTGCATCTATCATCAGGTATTTACTGTAAAATTTTGAGCGTATTTGATACCCTTTGACGAAAGTTATACTCAAAAAACCAAAAGGTGATATAATTTTTGCCGGTACTATATACAAGTATACATATATATATATATATATATATATACATATATATATATTAGGTGTTGGAATTAATTCGTAGCGTTTTACAAGT